AGGAAGGAAGGAAGGAAAGAAGAGAGAAAGGAGAGGAAAGGGAAGGGAAGGGAAGGGAGGGAAGGAAGGAAGGAAGGAAGGAAGGAAAGGAAGGAAAGGAAGGAAGGAAGGAAGGAAGGAAGGAAGGAAGGAAGGAAGCCCCTGAATTTCTCCAGCTCTGGGATCACATGAGGGGGAGACTAGCGAGGCATTTGCTCCGTGAGAGAGTAAAGCTGCACGGGGGGGGGGGGGGGACTTTGATGGGCAGGGATGTCTTCTCAGCTCTCTCCTTCTCCTTCTCCAGGTTGACGTCACCCTTGGGGACGGCTGGCCTTTGGGGGACCCCGGAGGCAGGAATGGCCCGGGTGCCGCACCTTGACCACGGCTCTACAGGTAACAAGGATCTGTGCAGGGTTGAAAACGGAGGTTTCAGAAATGAAAAATTAACCGCTGCTCCAAAAACTCGGAATCTGGCAATAATGGAGCGGAGCCGTCCTTGGAAGGGCCTGTCCTGCCAGCTGCTCTGCCAGGGAGGTGGGCAGGTGGGCAGCAGCCGAGGGCCGTGCCCTTCTTACTCCGGAGAGTAAGGTACTCTTTGTGCTCGTCTCGTGCAGAGGCTTCTGGGGAAGAGAGCAAGGGCGGGGTCAGTGGCCTGACTCTCGGGAGCAAGGGGGGGCGTAGGAGGTCAGGGGGCAGCCCCAGCTGGGGGGATGTGGCCTGCGGTCCAACACGACACCCCTTGAACTGAAGTACCGGTTCCTTCCTTCCTTCCTCCCTTCCTTCCTCCCTCCCTCCCTCCTTCCTTCCTTCCTTCCTTCCTTCCTTCCTTCCTTCCTTCCTTTCTTCTATAACAGAATGGAAGGGACCTTGGAGGTCTTCTAGTCCAACCCCCTGCTCAGGCAGGAGACCCTATACCATTTCAGACAAATGGCTGTCTCTTTTTGAAGGAGGTGAAGGTCATTTCCAGTATCTCAGGGGCTGCCCCAAAGAAGAGGGAGTCAAGCTATTCTCCAAAGCACCTGAAGGGAGGACAAGAAGCAACGGATGGAAACTAATCAAGGAGAGAAGCAACCTAGAACTAAGGAGAAACTTCCTGACAGTGAGAACAATTAACCAGTGGAACTACCTGCCTCCAGAAGCGGTGAATGCGCCAACACTGAAAGTTTTCAAGAAGAGACTGGACAGCCATTTGTCCAGAATGGTGTAGGGTTTCCTGCCTAAGCAGGGGGTTGGACCAGATGACCTCCAAGGTCCCTTCCATCTTTATTATTATTATAAGGGGTCTTCCCGCCCCAAGACACGATACACGGTTACCCCCAAGCATTCATGTTGTCCCCGCTTGGTTTCCAGGCCTGGCTCGCCCTGTCTTGTACCCGGATCAGGACCAGGGCAGGGAGACGATGCCTTACTCGGTGGAAACCCCCTACGGCTTCCTGCTGGATCTAGACTTCCTCAAGTACGTGGACGACATCGAGAGAGGCCAGACCCTCCGGAGGTTGCCCCTGCATCGCAAAGCTAAGGGGTCCAAGCCAGCCCAGGGCTCCCCCCACAGCCAGATGGGGGGCTGGGCCTCCACCGAGTCTCTCTCGTCCACGACCAGTGAGGACGGGAGACCCGCCTTCTCCCCACGGCCCCGAACGGCTTCCTACGACACCAAGGACCTCGCAGGCAAAAATGGCTCCTTTCCGACGTCTCCTGCTCCCACAGCCCAGCGTCTCCCCCAAGCTTCTCCCGATTCAGTGGGGAGAGGGGGCAGCCGGGTGGAAACGACCTTGCTGGAGACCAGCAGGAGGCTGGAGGAGGCACAGCTGAGTTTGCTGACTGGTGGGGCAGGCGCACCGTTCAAGAGGACAACCGGCCCTTCCAGAGAGAGCACGTGTCCCCCCAATTCTGCTTCCTCTCTGTCCGGGGACAGCCAGGCTGAGCCCGTGAAGACAAGCCCCCCTAACTCGGGAAGGACCACCCCGGTTCCGGCAGTGAGCCCCGCACACCTCCATCACGTCCGGGAGCAGATGGCCGCGGCCCTCAAACAGCTGAAGGAGCTGGAGGAGCAGGTGAAGGTGATCCCTCTCCTGGAGGAGCAGATCTGCCAGCTGAAGCAGGAGAAGGAGCAGCTGGTGGCTGGCTTGGGGGAGAAGGTGGAGGTTGAAGCAGGCCAGCCGGGGGTCTTCTGCTTCCCCCCAAGACAAGCCCTCAAAGATGGGGCTGCCTGTCTGGACACAGGAGGGCCCCAGGGCATCCAGGAGGTGCAGACTGAGAGCGAGGCGACCAAAGGAAGATCAAGTAAGATCGCAGAGCTGAAAAAACTGACCGAGCGGCTGACCGGTCCAGAGAGGGCTGGGAAGAGCAGAGGAGGGGCCCGGCCATCAAGAGCAGAGCAGCCCGGCCAGAGGTCCATCGGAGTCGGGGAGGAGGTGGACATGAGTGAACTCGTTTGCTACTACCAGAGTCAAAGACCGTGCCAGGAGGTGGCCGTTGGGTGCGAGACAGAGACCCGCGACGCAGAGGTGTGGGTGATGGAGTCCTTCCTTGGGGTGTCATCGGCCGCAGAGGAGGAGATGCAGCTGGTGCAGCACAGGGTCCAGCACCAGCAGGCCGTGATTGCCATGCTGGAGGGACACCTGAAGGAAGCCACCGAGGAACTGGAGGAGCTGCGGGTGGAGGTCTGCTCCCGCAGGCCAGGCAACCTGGTCAGCCAAGCGACCTTGGTCTGTCCAGAGACAGCGGACATTTGCGTGGAGGCCGTGCCGCCCACCCGGTGCCAGGCTGTGGGCAGCCACGTCGAAACGGTGGAGGTCAGCGTCCAGAGCTTTCTGCAAGTGTCCCACGTAGGAGTCGGTTGCAACTTGCAAGGAGAATCAAGTGCGGAAGCAAAGCCCACCCAGGACTCACAACAGACAACGCCACTGACCTCACTGGGGACGGAGCACACGGGCCAAAAAGGCCACCTTGAGTGCACAGCAGCAACGCCAGGGAGCCCTCCCTGTGGCACGGCCGGGGAGGACTCCAGATCAGAAGACGCCAGGCCTCCCACAGGCGGCAAGGAAGGGACGCTGATCCAGCTGGCACTGCAGACCACAGAGGGAGAACCGGATGCTGGCCCACCTTTGCCCCTGGGGATGAGCAGCCAGGGCAGCCAGGAGCCAAACGGGGCAGAGGGAGTCTCAGGGGCTGGTGAGTGCCACTGTCACGTGCAGCACGCAAGGCTGGGCTTCTTCAGGGTGGCTGCCAAGCTGAGACACCACCCGTGTCCTTCGTCAGTTGAGGGTTTCTTAAGATGCACGTTCACGACGTAGCTGCCAATCTGTCTTGCAGACTCTGAAAATGTAGGGAAGAAGCTTTCCTCCCCACAGAGGCCCCCAAACCACAAACACACACATGCACACACACATACATCAGACTCAGGAGAAGGGCCAGATTACTCACTGTAGGCCTCTCTTCCCTGTGGGCTAGAGCTTCTGGCATTATACAAACAGCGCCTGGTCTGCCTTGGACACTCGGTGCTTTAGGACACCAGGTGCCGTTCAGCAATTTGGCATCACGCAGCTTGCTCCAGGAGAGCATACAGGGAGGGGGGAGGACAAGAACATGTGTGTGTGTGTGTGTGTGTGTGTGTGTGTGTGTGTGTGTGTGTGTGTGTGGTGGGGTTTCTGGGACCAGGTGTTGGGGGGGGGAAGTTCTCAATCTGGCCCTATTGGCTCACCCCCAACCCCTGAAGCCTGGAGTCTCGGTGGGAGCTGCAGGACGAGCTGAAGCCAACCTTGCAGGGGTCCCCGTTGTCCTTGGAAGGACCACTTTGGGTGGGCCCCATGTGGCCCCAATTGCACAACACCCCAGAGCTGAAAGGGGCCGATGGGGCCTGGGAGTGCAAAGAGTCCTACGGCACCATTTTGAACCTAGTTAAAAGGGGGCCAATCGGTGCATTGTGCAAAGGCAGTCACTGGGTGTGGGTGTTTGATGATGGGGGAGGACGAGCGCCCCCTCCCCCTTTCCTCCTTGAAAAGAGACTTCCAGGATGGCTGAAGCACTGCAAGGGTCTCTCCCAGCTTTAGGAAAAAGGTGGGTCCCTGGGGGGTCTCTCGTCTCCAAGAATCCCACCCTTCCCCACCCCGGTCTTTACCGCCTCCAGAAGAAACTTGTGGGGTGTGGGGCACAATTGGAATGGCGTCTTCCCTGGGGGAGAGGGGCCCACACACCACAGCTGTCTGCCCTCGGTTTCCTGGGCATGTTTGCGATAGTAGTTCAGGTGCTGGCCTAGAATCCAGGAGGCGGCGAGTTCTAGTCCCGCCTTAGGCATGAAAGCCACAGATGGGGTGACTTTGGCCCAGTCACTCTCTCTCTCTCAGCCTAGCCTATCTCTCAGGGTTGTTGTGGGGAAAAGAGGAGGCGGGAGCATTGTGTGCCGTCGGAAGTTACCGTCTGGGAAATCCGAGTTATGATGAAGTAGCAACATTACTGAACACAGTGACCTACATGCCGGTCATTTGGGGTGCCCGGAAACCGGCTCACACTTGTGACCAATTGCAGCACCCCTGCGGTCACAGGACGGCCTTTTGCACCCTTCTCCGCTGGTTTCCCCCCAGGAAAAGTCACCCCAAGTTGCTGGAGTAAACCCATCCCCAGTCTTTCTTTGCTTGTGCGTGCCCTCCTTCCCTCCCCCCTTTTGATCGCACACCCCATACCTCCCTGTACTTGCACACATACACACACACACACCTTCCACCCTTTCCCTGCCTCCCTGCAGTCACACGCATGCATCCCACGTCCTCACTCCCCAGCCTTTCTGATCCGACAGGACCCCCCAAGGCCCCCCTCCCCCGATTTAGATGTGCCCCCCCCCACTGTCCTCAGACACCCCAACCTGGGACTTCCTCGGCTGCCCACTTAGTGACCCTCCTGCGTCTTGGTTTATGACAACAACCGAGAACTTTCAGGATTGGTGTCATTAGCAGTGCAGCCACCTGCTTTACGACTGCTTAACGATGGCAACCCCAGCCCCAACGGCAGTCGTAATTCGAGGACTATGTGTAAAGGCAGGGTATGCATCTCAGAATAACAAAATAACCATCATCGCCATCATGAGGGTCCTCTCCTCCCCTCCTCCTCTGCCCCTCCCTTTCCTCTGCAGGTGCCCTGAAGTCAATAATGAAGCGGCTGGACAGCCCGGCCAAGGCAGAGCCGAGGGGCAGCGGGAAGAAGACCCTCCAGTTTGTGGGCCTCCTGAATGGCGAGTACGAACCGTTCCTCTCCTGGAGTGGGAGAAAAAGCCAAGGGGTGGGCCCACTGCAGCCCCCCCCCCATGCACCATCGGGGGAGGGGGAGAGGGTGTGGCTGATGGTCTGTCTGCTCAATTTTGCTCCCAAATCCTTGGAAACTCCAATTCATCCACTGGAGCTCCCTACCTCCTTGGGATCGAGCCTCCACAACAGAGGCAGTCTACCCCCAAACGCCGGAACCCTGATCTGAAATACACAGCTGGGCCCTTCCTAGGGGAGTGGGGGGGCACTTGAGGGGTGGGACTGAATAGAACCAGGCTTAGGAAGAGACCTCCGCCCACAGCAGGTCCCGGGGAACTAAATGGAGCCTCCTTGTTCAGGAGCAGCCACCTTTGTGCGAGCATTAGCATCTTGCTTTGACCTCTTTGCCCTGCTTGTGGGGTTCTTGATGGGATTGTGGGGGGGAGGACAAGATGGATCACATGGGGGGCCATGGTAGGTAGCCAAGGGTCCTGGCCCTCCTCTGACGCCCTCTCTCGTGGCAGGTATGAGAGCACATCTAGCGAGGAGGAGGAAGAGGAGGAGGAGGAGGAAGAGGAGGAGGAGGATGGGTCCCCAGGAGAGGGATCTCTCCAGGGCTCCTTCTGCGAGACCCTCGGCAACCCCAGTGAATTGGGGGGCGATGTTGTTGCCAGCCCGGATGTCAGTGACAGCAGCGAGGAAGAGGAGGGGAGCCCGGTCACAGAGGCGGCCGCGCCCGGCCACCCACGGCTGGGCTCCGATCCTGAAGAGGCTGCCGGACAGGGAGGAGCCACGCCCAAGGTCAAAGAGAGGTAAGAGCATTCCCCAGGGTGAAGGACCCCAGACCCCTTTCCGGACCTTCCTTGCTGGGAATGGTCTGGATCAGTGATGGCGAACCTTTTAGAGACCGAGTGCCCAAAGTGCAACCCAAAACCCACTTATATATCGTCGAGTGCCGGGTGGACGTGGCCCATTGGGTGGGTGTGGCCCATTGGGGGCGTGGCCCACTGGGTGGGCGTGGCTGTGGTGGTAACGGCAGACTGGGTGGGACTAAAAAGTACAATCAATTAATTCCAACTTTGCAAGATCTCTTTATTCCCGCGAGAAGTTGAAATTGACTGATTGATTGAACCTTTTAGGCCAGTGATGGC